TACTTGCCGACTTGATTGGCCCGATAGCCGCGCAGACGTGCCCGTGCACAAGACAGCACTGAACCAAATTTGCCCAAGCCAAAGCTAGCCAAGCCACACACCTGCTTCGGAGCTGGACTAATTACTCTGGAGCATTTGTGCTCCATAGCATCTCGCCCAGAATCTTGACCTCTGATACCTCTGCCCCAAGTGATGCATGTCCTCGCGGGGCATAAGCGGCGCTAGCTGCGCGCAAGCCGGGACCTGAGAACGCTCGGCGCATGCGCCGGCGTCAAGTTTGTCCAGCTTCGTGTCTAGATTAGGGCGTCCCCTATCGTTTTATAGTGTTTGCAACTGGAAGCATACTGGAAGACACGGTACACTGCTTTAGAGTAGAGAGATACAGTATAGAACATGCAGCATTCCAGGGTGCGGCCTAGGGTTGCGGTCTTTGAGGTTTTTGGATGTGCTTGGGGCTTTTGGGTTTTGAGCTTCGTCTGCTCTTCCTTTCGAAAGGATGCGGCATCGCGCAATCATGAAGAGCTGGCTTCTGAGAGCATACGAAGCTTTTGGTGGCGCAGAGAGTTGTTTTAGGCCTGGGGTTTAGGTTGCTGGGATTTCGTGAGCTTAAAGATGTTTGGACTGTTTGGAGTCTTCATTCTGGTCCAAGGAATAGTACTGGCACAGTACATGAACGGCCACGGGCCCATCTCGGCCACACTCGGGGCTACATGTGGGGTATCGTTCGGGTATCGTTCTGTCCAATTTAGGGACGTCGCCTCATTTCCAAAATTTCCATCCCGACAACCTCCGTACCCGTGCCAAAACCTAAACTGCCACCACTGTCTGTTGAAAGAAACCAGGAGCTAAGGGGTACAATGGCAACATTGCGGTGTTGAGGGTATCGTCTTTACGGCGTCCCCTATCGTTTCACAGGTCAGACTGGCATTTGCCATCTTCGACAACCGCCCGCTTTAAAATCAAAATACGATAATTTGGTCCCCAGCATCCAAAAACATCAACCTTCCTAGAATGACCACCTCGAGAATCCTGCATGCGATCCCAGGCGCTGCTCGCACAGCGCCGCTCGCTCTTCCGACGGGGGCCGTCCTGCAAGAGATTGTGCGATGTGCTGTAAGCCACACCAGCAGCAGTCTCTCAGCCATCTTCGTTGACTTGGCACACTGCGGGTCAATACAGATGCCCCATGCAGGCACACACAGTGCCTGGGCCTAAGCAGAAAGCTGTGCAAAACTCCTCGTGATTGCTGCGATAGATGAATCCACCCCCCACTCTGGCACAAACCTGCAGGCAGGTGTGCGTTGTCAGTGCCGGAACTCGAGCTGATTTTGGATGCGATTGATGGCATGCACGCGGCACAGTTGTACATTGCGCAAACTTACTGGGATCCGAACCGTTTCCTGGGAGTCGCGCATTGCATGGCCGTGTGCAGGCTTGTCTACTTGTTCGAAATTACAGCCGAGTTTATCTCATGCCAATTGAACTTCCGCGTTTCCGCTCTGCCTTTAAATCATATGCGCTATGATGTTTGGGCCTGGGGCAACCCTGTAGCACAGGGCTGGAACCTGCAAAACAAGCTAGAACGTTCATGGCGGAATGAACCTCGAGCCTGAAATCCATCATTGGTCCTGAGTGTGCTTGGCATGACTGTCCGCCGGTATGCAAGCCTATCTTCCCATTGATCCGCGCTAGATAACGGAGCTGCTTGTCAGAAAGCCAAAGTGGCGCAGAGCGCCGGACAGTATAGCTCAATCCCATACTACAATACCGTTTTTGTTCTTGCATCACTGTGAACAAGTACCTCAGCAACAACGAAGGATCCGTAGCAAAATCAACTGCCGGCCCGATCGCAACTAGACGACAGCCTTGTCGGGCCCGAATTGGTAGATAATCGATCGAAACAAAAACATCGGAACCGGAGAGGTAAATCCCCCAAAATCATTGAGACCACCTCAACGCCTCCCTCGGCCATTAATCTTCGATCAGCTACTTGGCTGATCCAGAATAAAAGGAATCGGAAGACTACGACGGATCTTCAGCTCAACCATACGATTGGGGTCTAATAGTTCAACTAGTTTCATTAACTACCTTGAAGCTTACCTAGTTTATCAAGTGTAACCAATGCAAGTCAAGTGACGTTGAATGTGTTTAACTTGCGTCAGTACTGAACCTATTTAAGAAAGCTCGCTCGAACCGGGTCGAACTGGCTCGTTCGGGCCGGGCGAGCGGGTCCGGTCACCGTCAAACGCTATCGTCCGACACCCTTCCGGGGCCCGCAGGTAGCTCTTCCCGGCTTAGGGTTCAAAGCGTCGTTTTCGGTGCACTGACACTTGCTAGGCTCAGATTGCCGGGGCTTTAGCAAGCCTGAGGACCGACGGCTGTTGAGCTGGTCTGGTCAGATGCCCCGGTGCACCGGCACAGGCAACAACAGCGGAAGATGGATTTTGTGAACCTTCTTTGTTTTGCAGTGTTTTGTGGTGACTCTCAGTCTGGCTGGGGCACGAGGGCACAGCGCTCGCACTGCCAGTGAGATCGTTGGCCTGTGGTGCGGCACACGCACTGCATTTATTCTCTGCTGCTCACTACCCCAGTTCAGACTCTGACGGAAGTCATTCACGGAAGCTCGCCATATTATGCGGGGGGCAGTGGGTTCTGGCTCCCATCAATCTACAGTAGGTCGACCTGCCTTGGACGGTGCGCTCCGGCCGGTCATCGTGGCCGGAGTGCTGGATTCGTGGGCAACCAGCTTGGACGATACCCCGAGAACCCAATACCCCTTAAGTAAGGAATATACCTCAAATTTGTAGGGGCCTTCTGAAAATTGACGTGTATTACGGGGTATTGGGTTCTCTGGGTACAGGGCATAAGAGGGGTGTTTTTGACCCCCTCGGCCTGCAGGGCCTCCAGGGCGCCCCCCCGAATCCCCCTATTTGTTATGGAGACGTTTTGAAGGGAGAAAATCGGATATGTAACTTTCATGGTCTCTCTTTCTCTCTCTCTCTCTCTCTCTCTCTCTCTCTCTGCCGTGCCATCGTCTCGTGGTCGGCACATCGTTTTTTCTGGTGCATGGCTTTGGTGGAACGCGGCGATGGTGCGGTGCACTGTGAGCTGCTCGACGAGCCGCTCACACTTGTGCCGTGATTTCTCTGGGCTGCAGTTGCAATCGACTACGACGACTACGATTGGTCTGGTGTGGGCTGGCTCGTGTCTGTCAACAAACCTCTCCGGCGGTTGCTCTTGCTGGGCTCGCTGGAGGTTTCAACTTTCGCCCCGGAGCTGGAGACAGTGCTTAAGATCTGCCGAGTCTGCGGGCGGTCGCCGCGATCATGTCCGTAATTCGCCATCTCACCTGCCTCCTGGTGCAGATCAACATTTCTAGGAGGCAAGAGCTTTTGCGCAAAATTGAAGAATATATAATCTACCAGAATTTCGTCACAGGGTATTGTTGCTGAACACAGGGATCCAAAAGGGGGGCCTCGTTTCCGCTCAAGAATTTGATATCGACGCAGTTTGCCGACGGGTCCCTCATGAGAGTCGTGAGAGTGGCTGGAACGCTTCATGGGAAAGTGCCAGGGCGGCAGCGGCCCCCCACCTCGGTGAGCATGCTAATGGAGCTCGCAGCAGGATCGTCCCGAGTATCCAAACCAGGAGTGAACTCTCCAACTCGCTGGCGAGCTCACCACGACCGATCGCTGAATGTGGTCGGAGGCCCGCATCTCGAACGGGTTGTGAATGGACTGCGCGGTGAGCCTCGTCCGAGCAATCGACCTTGGGAGGCCAAACCTCGACTTACCTTTGCCAAGCTACCTACCTTCCTAGCAGTCACCCATCGAAAGCAGTGTAAAATGTTCTTCTAGTGTCAGCAGAGTACTTCTCCCCACCCTCTGGGATTAAACGCGCCACTTTTTTGCTCGCGCATGGAGCACACCGAGACCCACCAACGTTTCGCGGGCGGCCCCACTTCTGTCCGTTGAACTTTATGCTTGCAGCTTCCAATAGCAGCATGTGAAACGGCCCGTGCCATCACTGGTTCAAAGCTTCGGCGCCTGACGGACTGATTCTGCGTGAATGCTTGCCAGAAATTTTCCAGAATCATGCTGAGACTGCTGAGACACCAGCACCGGGTGGATCTCGTTTTGCGAGCAGATCTCTGGCTGCTGTCTACATGGGCGAAATTTATGACACAAGAACAACTCCGCGAAAACACTGCGTCCGACGAGACCGCTTAGCCGCTAGGCCGAGGTAGCATGGCCGGCACTGCAGGGGCAACGAGAAGATTAAGTATCACGTATGCAGGCCGCATGTGCCTGAACGGTTTGCCGCAAGCTAAACACTGTTGCAGCCACGCATTCTTGCGAAGCTGCAAGTCCTGTATCAGACCGTGGTCTGCTTTGTCTCTGAGTCTCAGGGTATAGCGTCCGCAAGCTACAGCTCCTGGTGAATCTGAGTGTCACCTCGAGGCTCAGCATATTCTTCTTGAAGGCAAAAACGAGCCAGCATGCGAAGTCCGAAATGGGACATGAGCTGTTTCCTACCGTTTTCGTCGGATGCACGCTAGGCTTGCGACAGAATAGCACGTTGTAGAAACTCCAACAGCCTAGAGACGAAACAACAAAACGATGGCCTGCACAACATCCAGACGATGCTAGGGACAAATTACGTGAATCCAGAGTCTGGAGAAGTGACCTCTGCCCAGAGGCGGCAATCAGTCAATCAACGGCGATGAGCGCAAAGGCGAACATTTCCGTCAGCAGATGCAAAGACCAATTTATGGGCGGTAGCTTGCCAGCCTGATTGCGTTGACAGCCGCGGCTGAAGTTGTCATGAGGACCGACTCTCCCTAAACTTGCCGAATTCTCCATCAAGGGTATCTGCACATTCCCGTGCACGCCATAAAAAATCAAACAAAACCTAGCACTCCGAAGCCACTCCGTGGTCAGGTGCCTGCAAAGCCAGCACTCGAAACTGATTGGGTCACTTGAGCCCCCAACTCGGCGTTTTCAGATCGAAAAGGAGGTTGCATGATGGTGCAAGACTTGCTGAACACTTGCATGCCGCGCCAACTGCGCCGGCGTGCGACCACGCTTGTTAGGAATGTGAGGATCTGCGTGTGCATCCAACAAATGCTGCACCATGCGGTCTGCACCGAAGAACACCGCATGGCCCAGAGCGGTGGTGCTGATCTCAGCCGTGTACTTGAGACCCGCCACTGTCTCCCGGCTCTCTCCAGCTGCAAGGACATAGCCGCGACACAACCACTCGACGATGTTGAAGATGCCACTCGTTCTGCATGGTTGGTTGATGTCTGCCTGGCTCTCAACACTCCAAGGGCCTCCTTTAAACTAGCAGATGTCCGGGCCTCGTTTTCGATCAGCAAATCCAACTGGTCCAGGCAGTGAGGGTTGCTACGCGCTGTGCTGGCAAGGGATGCCAGAGGTCCCATGCCTGTGCCACCTGCAGACCTCAGAAACCAGCAATCAGAGCAGGTTCTGGATGCCACATGCCCCACAGACATACCTTTGGACACACAGCTGAAGCGAATCGAAAGCCACTCAACAGCCCAAAAACCCAAGAAATCCGGCGCGACAAGGCCTCTGTGAATTCACCTCTCAACCTAAACAAGTTGTCCCTGCTAGGCCCATGTCTTGAGGCCAGCTTCAGATTCACCTCTGCACCCAGCCGGATGAGCTCAGCCGTGACCTGGACAAGGTTTTAGGGCAGGAAGTCGGTGTACCCGATGTACCCGACCCACTGACCCGCCCACCCGTCTTCCACAACAACAAGATCTTGACCAGTACCTACTTCGAGACAAGCAGCAGCCACGGGAGCTTGGCGGTTGCATGCAGCAGCCAAGGCAGACTGAAAGAAAGGAGGCGGCCTTGAAAGGATCATGCCAGCCCAAGAAACAGTTTTGCATCAACGCCCATCCAGCAGTCGTGCGCCGACACTTTTTTATTCAATTCTGCAAGATTCATGGCCCACCTCAAGTTCACATCTGCCCGATGCTCCACCAACATCTTGACCGACGAGGTCGTGTGGCAGAGTCCCAAGACCTGACAGGCTCTGGAAACAGCAGCATTTGCTGGACACGCTGCACAGGTGAAACCAAGGCACCGGGATCTTCAAGAAGCTGTCTGTGGTGTTGGGATCTGCTTGAAGCTGAAGTAGCTTTTTCAAAGCAGACTCCTCTCTGCTGACAATTGCAAGATGCAGCGGGGTCCACCCATTTTCGATGCCAACCTGCACGGCAAAGTTGTTTACAGGAATCGCAGTGGAGGCACGAGGCCTTTGGAGGGCGAAGGATTGATTTGTTTCCGTCGGATTCCATCAGAGGCAAACTTGCCAGACAGATTGCATTTGGACTTGTAGTTCAGAGTCAGGAGACGCCTCAATTACCGGGCCTCGGCCATGTCGCTCAGGCGCGTCTGGATGGGCGCACCTTCCGCGGCCAGTCGGCACAGTAGGGCCGCGTCCTACCAGGTCAGCAAGGTCTATGTGGCTCAGGCCTCAGGACAACAACGACGAACGGCCACCGTCCCCCCGACTTCGCTGCCCTTGGGCCGACCATGCCGCAACCTTCACACCCCTGAACATTCAATTGCTACCCTCGTATCTGCCGACCCTTGCCAGCATGCTTCCCATGCCTTCCCCAGGTTTGCGCAGTGGGCTCAAACCAAGTCTTCACATCACCAATCCCATACATTTCTCGAAAACTCCTACGACCAGACCAAACAAATTCTCATGCCCAGTGACGCCAGAGAGAGCAGCGCAAGCTGCAGCCCCCATGCCACGCCGCTGGTGTATCGCAGCCTTCATGCCAGTGGACTAGCAGTGACTAGCAAGTGATTGAAATCCGCAGTTGGTACCAATTGGCACTGCTGCAGGCGCTGTGCAGTCTCCAGATGCCTGACCGAATAAATGAGCCTTTGCCCTGCAACGCAGATTTTCCCTGCAACGCAGACACCACGAACATCTCCAGCTACTCTATCCTGAAGTGGCCTGCAGCGACGGGAACGAGAAGCGCGACACGAAATCACCGACATCACGCTCCGCAGCAGGCAGCCCAACCAAAACCTGGAAGCGCTACCGCAAGTCTTGCGGTATTAGACTTCGCTTCTTCAGTTTCTTCAGAATGGAGGAAACAGGCTCGCTCCCCTCGATTCGTCTGATAAACCCCTTTCTACGGAAGCTAGCCTCAGCATCACAAAGTGGGATCCTTGACAAGCCCATTTAGCAAACACGAGTGTGCCTATCTGGCTTCCTACACCCTTCCGAAGTACCTTTCGCTTTGCCCAGGCGCTTCGTATCTGGCCGCATAGTACCTGCTTCGCAAGCCATGCCACTGTGCAGGGCCTATCCTGCTCTATCTTGCAGGGTGTCACGTCCAGTTAGAAGAGACCGCCTACGATCACCTGCCCCTGATCTGAACAATCAAATGTGCATGTAGGCCCTAGGCCTCACTCGGACATACGCAGAAAAGAGAGTATTGTACTGTGTTAGAATCATAACGTTCTGAATTGTGGCCGTCTCGACCGTGTTAAGCATGTAGCCTGGAGTCTAATCGCATATTGCATATTCCATTAATAAATTATTGCTGATACTGATACAGTATGACACATTAAGCAATTAGCCATGACAGCAGCCCCCCCCAGAAGAATCGCCAACAAGTAAGACTGATGCTGCTAAGATGGCTTTGCGATCACGAGACGTGTCTAAGACCGCATGCCCCTGGACAGAGTAGGATTGGTTGATGAGGGGCCAACTGCATCCAGGTGCCTGAACAGTTCAATCTGACCAGAAGCTCGTAGGCGAAGCAGCTTGTTGTCGAGTGCAGTTCGAACGAAACCAGAGACGCGCTCTCGATCGGACTGGCAAGTGAACTCACCTGCGATTGAAGCGAGACGGATGGAACTGGACGTTCTGCCGCAGGCTTCAGGCTTACGGGACTGCAGGACTTCGTGTTTCCTGCCTTCATGTGCAGGGTTTTGCACCCACTGCAACGGAAGCGCAAATTCAATCTGGTCCTCTCCGGAGACGACAATGATCGGCACGTCACCGTTCGACCTGCCGAGAGCAGCATGCTCAAATAACAGATAGACAGGGAGTTACAAAGAGATATGTACATGTATGTATGTAAGTATGTATGTATGTATATATATATATATACATATATATATATATTTTGTATGTGTGCATAACGCGGTGTAGAGAGAGAGAGAGAGACAGAGAATGAGAGACACGCACGCACACACGCCTGGAAAAACACCAACCCACATCTTAACTATCTCTCTCGCTTAATGCTTCTTCTTCGATCGCTGTCACTCTATGATGCATTGTTTGAAGGTTGGCTCCTACCCACCAGTGTTCAACACTGCTTGCAGTCGCAAACCAGAACAGCCGCGTGACCTATCGGCCAGCAGCTGACACCACATTTCGGCACGGCACCACCTCAGCCGCCGTGGCACATGCCGATCGGTTGGCGGTTGGGTGCTTCTGGGATGCATCTGGCATGGTTCGTTCACTTGCAATCTTCTCAGGTCGTCCTGCTGTTGCTCAGCTGACCTGAACTCGATCATTCCAGCACCGGCATCTCAATCAAAGCCCTCAAAGCAGAGAAACTACAAGAAGCTTCGCGAACCGGTTCAAGTTGTGGGATGCTTGTTGGAGATGGCATCGGGGTGGACTCAAGCACACAAGAAGCAAGAGTCCCAGGGCTCATGCTGCGAAAGCCCTTAGTGCACACGGGGTACACACGATTACACTCCAACATGGGACAACTAACACAACACGAACAACTACGTGCTCTTGGCAACAGTGACACAGAGAGTGCACCTGGCATGAGTCTAGAAACTCGGTGACCTCGATGGGGGTTTGCAGTGGCCAGGCGCCACTCGCTAGCGATGCTTGGCAACTCAGCACAGCACCCTCTTGACAACCAGCTCGCAAGATCACAGTCCTGCTGCGATGCGAAGTGGCGCAGGGGCGGCACTAAAGCCACGAAGAGCTGGCACGAACCCACATAGAATGGGATCGACTGAATGCCCAGTTCAGCTTTCGAGTTTGGGATCTGCGGGATCGAGAACCAATCAAGCCAAACATAGGCACTTGCCAGTTGCTCCCTTTCTTTTTCACCAAGCCTTCTATACTGCTGTCGTAGCTGTGATACGACATCTGACTCCACGTTAACCGTGCCATCGATGGTGTTCCGCAACGCCTTCTGCAAGATCTTCAGCTGTAGCCCATCAGGATCGGGATGCCAGCTGCTCAACCACTGGTGTGAAACAAATATCGTGAGAAGAGTCGGTTTCCACTCCACCAAGAGGTTTCGTCGGTGCAACTCCTCGTGCGAGGGAGCTGGGCCCTCAATTTCCAGCAGGTCCGAGACTCTGAGAACCTGGAGAGGCTGTGTTCCCGGAGGTCCCGGAGAACCATAACTGTTTAGCTCAAGACTAAGAGACGAGCGACCCCTCAAGCGCACCAGACCTGTTGTCTTCAACCCTTGAACTGGCAGGTTGACTAAACAAGGGTTCTGCACGGATAAATTCGACGTCCTAACTGAGTCCTATATCTCCTCAAGCAACAAGCAGCTCCAGGGCGCAAGCCTAGATAGCATCTGCTAGGACATTGGCAAGCTGAAAGACGGCACACTCGCGAACTGTAGCCTGAGTAATTAGGAAACCGTACAAAAATCTTGCACGACAAAGGCTGTGCTCGACAACACCACATCCTGCATGCCATGGTGGCGTTTCGATGAAAATCTCTTTCTTTCGGCAAAATCTCTTGCTTGCTTGCTTGCTTGCTTGCTTGCTTGCTTGCTTGCACGCCGTTTAGGACTCTCTCTCTCTCTCTCTGCTCTGTGTCTCTCAGACCGGGAAAATCGAAAGTTCGACGGGGAGACAACCAGTGGTCCCTGGTTCCAATCCGTGTGCCCAGCGACCCACATTGTATAGAGTTTCTGGTGCCGCCAGTTGTTTGGACGGCCTGCAGTAGTATGGCCCACCGGCCGAGATTCATCTGCAACAGCTGGAGCTCGAGATGTGCAGGCTCCCATTCTCGAAAGGATGGGAGGTTACTGCAAGGAATCTCACGCGACCCAGCAAAGCAAGATGTGTGGACTGGCTGCTGAACGGAAGCTTGGTGGTACTGATATGCGATGTTCTTAAATTCGTCCCTCTACTGACCCTACTGCTGAAAACTTGAGCCTTCATTGCAGCACAGAAGGATCCGCAAGTGTCGAGACGCTGATTTTGGAAGACTCTCTGCAAAGCTCACATTTATGTGCTGGCCAGCTGGTAGCACACGCTCTGAGGGCGGCCGAGCAGTAAGCTTGTGATTGTGGCGTGCCTTCTCATCCTTCGCCCTCCAGACGCGGCAAGTAGTTGATGCCTAGGTATGCTGGGCCTGTGGTACCCTGAAGCCGCTTGCACTTTTCCTGGAAAGAGATGCAGATGCCATCAACATCAATAAAGCCAAGACAAGATCCCGTCAGAGTCTCTCTCGTGTCTATGGCACGGACTCAATACGATGGACGCCGCAGAGAGAAGGAAAGCGCAGGAGACCCACCTCAAGGCTTTGCAGTCGGGTCAAAGCTCTGACGGGCGCAGCATGGGCAAGAGGTTCAAGAGTACGAGTAGCTTGCACGTGGCAGTACGACCAGGATCTCGCACATAAGGAATGCGGCAGCAGCATGAAAGAGACTGTCGCACTGCTGACATTGGTTTTGAGGGTCCCGTGCGCTTCAATATGGCAAACCTGGCTCGAGAACCGAAGCTGTCGTGGCCAGGGCCCCAGCTGGTTGGAGCTGGTAGCAGCAACGAACCGTTCCTCAAGCTCTACCCGAATAAGGGAACATCAAACGGAGTGGAGTCTGCCCACAAGCAGCATGATGCATGCACTGACCTTGCAACAGATCGTGCTGCACTTCTCTGACCGATGTGTGCCGGAATCAGCTTTGCTATATTCACGGCCAGTAATTCGGAGTCATCTTGTGCCTTCGCACAGCTACCAACCAGGAATCGCCCACGTCACCGCCCAACATGTCTGTGCTGTAGTTCTCATGCACCCTCGGTGCTCCACCCATCCAGGTGGAGCGGCACGTGCTTCTCTGCTATCGAAAGTCGCCACCATCATCACCTGGAGAGGAGCTTGGGCGCAAGTTCGTGAGATCTGGCTTGGGACTCAGCAGCTTTCACAGCCGAGTAGCCTAGTAGCCTACTGGCCTACTGCAACTTATGCGCATTGCCAGGTCGAGGTGTTGACAACCTGATGGCACAATGCTGAGGCTCAACTCCTGCGAGAACCAGCAGCGCAAATCCACCTTCAGCAGGGGCACAAGCTCTCTTCCCTAAAGTAAACAGCTGCTCAGCTTTGAACAACAAAACTAATCCAAGGTGGATGAAGTCCGTGGAGTCGAGCAGACGGGAAGAAACTGCAGCTGGCACGCATAAGCCCAATTGTTCACCAATTATCGAAACTTCCTAGACGCTTCGCCGCGTCGTAGAATCAGAAGCATGCTACGCAGACTCCGCATGAAGCGGCATGTCAAGTACTATGCCAGATATCAAGCGGGAGCAGCCGGAGCGGCAGCTGTTCGATCATCCATTCATCATGTGTCTGTGCTTCGGGAACCAACTTGGAATCGACAGCAGCCGATGCCCTTCTGGATGCTAGCTGCTAGAGGAAACCCAGAACGGAGGCAACAAAAGCAGCGATCGATGGATCGCACCGCCCAGACCCAACCCTGTTCGAGAAGTCTTGCCCTTGCTGTATATGCTGTCAAAAAACGAAAGCCAGATCACCCAGTGGCATCCAGTGGCATCGGCAGCATCGTGACTTTGTCCACCCCCCGAAACCAAAACGAATCTGTCCCGAACTATCCCGAACCATTGTTGCATGCACATGGCAATGAATATTTGCATGTCCTTCCACGACAGGAAACCAAAAATGTCAACCCATGCACGCACTGATGATTCTGTGCACTCTCGGTCCAGGTTTTGGTGCATCCCAGACCACGACAAGAAAATCGGGCCATGCCAACACTAAATCGGTGCTCCTCTGCAAGCCAGGAATCCACACCACATCAAGCCGTCAGCCCCCTATGGAAAGGAAACCGAGTCGCAGCCATGTTTGCAGGAAGCAATCGTTAAAACTCACGACTCGTACACACTTCATCACTTCGGCTTTTCGCACTTTCTGAAGTTCGAAGTTACGGATCGCGAGGCGCACTTTTTCAAAGCGACAGTTGCATTTTCTGCGACAGTTCTACACAATCTGCGGCCTACCACAGCAGGAGACATTTCCGCACTATTGACTGTTCACATTTGCCTGGAACAGCTGGGCAGCAGCAGGACCAGGGCGAGATTTGCAACGACTAGATGTGGCATTTGCCAATTCTGTTGGTCAAGTTTAGAACGGTTGTGAGGCCTCGAGTGAGTAAGGCCTGACTCGAGGCTGTGGTGTGCAATGCTCACAGCCTCTTCGGAGCGACGTTGTTGCGTCCCTACTTGTCAGCACGAAAGCGGGTGCAAAGAGTGGTAAGCATGGCTGAGTATGCGGTAAGAGTCCGACGGGCACATCGACATCGTAGGCAAAGCACGTCACTTTGAGGACACACTCTGCCCTGGCTTCATGTACAGCCGAGGGGCACAGAAGCACATAGCCCGACCTCCAGAGAACCACAAAGCAAAGAGTTGCTAATCAAAAGCGGTTTGAACATGAGGAACCATCAGCTGCTTGCTGTCCGACTTTGCCTATCAGACCGTCGAGCCTATCTTTGCTTGAAGATTGAAGGGTTGTACGGGCGACAGGACAAGGCGACATCAAGTCGCATTCCTGCAAAATATCTCAGGGTCTCGGATCTCACTCCGGAGCTCGAAAGAAGCGAGCAATCCACAAGGCCATGTCACACAAACTCTCCATGCCCGGCCGGCGCGTGCCTTCCAGAATGGAGGAAGTTGAAGAAGTTGGAGACCACAGAGTCGCGAGCTGCTGCTGCCTGGGTAAAATGAGTGGGTACATCTGGCCTTTCACGAAACATCAGCCCGAGAAGGCGGCATGAGCAATGATGCGCACTGCCATGGCTTGGCCGGTGGCAGCTATGTACAAAGTTGCGGTTGGAGCATGCAGAGTGTTCGACTTTGAAGGGTTGAGGTAGATGAGGAGCAGGGAACTGTGCTGGACCGGAGGGCTCCTTCACGATCGTGCTTCCAGTTCATCACCCTTGCTGGCGGCACATGTCTAAATCCTGTCCATGCTGATGTGAAATTAACCGCAGCGCATTAGGCACGGAATCGAGATGCCGTTTCGCGCCAGTCAAGGCACTACCAACACAACAGTCAACCGCCGAGCCATTTGCCAGCGTGTAACCGCAGCAAGCCCTTCCCCACGATACTTTGTTTCTCATGAGCTCGCGGTTGGCTTCACTTTTGTGGCCGGTGCTCGGAACAGCCAGTCCTCGATCAGAACATAATCGAGATCCTGGGCTGCGGCGGGACGAAGGTCAGCAACAGCAAAAATTAAACTGAGAACTACTCAACCGTACAGCAACTGCCGCCGCCTCTCTATAAAGGCTGCCTCGAGGCATACATGTTGGTTCCGGGGTCTGCATTCCTAACAGCACAGGGCCTGGTATCCCATTGAATCTGGTCGGCTGATAGCAAATCAGGGCACAGGCATCTCTTCCAGCATCTTGAGACAGTCCTGCAGTGCAAACCGCCCAGGTGCCTTCACCCCGCTTGCATGCCGCTCATGTGTCCCACAACATGCAACAAATCAATCAAGTCTGAATCTGAGAACTGGTGCCTCTCCTCTGCACGGTTTATGATGGGCTTGCCTTTGGTGTTGAAGCTCGTGTTGATGAGAGCCTGAGCATGTCAGACCGACAATGCTGGACGGTCCAAGGCATGCACAAGTCCAAGGTCATCCAAGGTCCCAAGTATTTCGAAGTCAACAACCACGTATGTGGTGTTCAATCAACTTAATTAGAGTGCTTCACCATTTTGTTCTTACCTCTGCTACAGTACACATCTCATCAGGTCCAAGAGGCACCATGTGCATTCTGCTGCCTGCCCGATCTATATAAGCTGACAGACAATGAAAAGATGGTGCGTGCGTGCGAACCAATGTCTGTCAAAAGCGCTGAAGAAGAGCCAGCATTCCGAAGCTCGTTTTGCATACAGCTTTGTTCCAATGTTGATTCTGCCTCTCAGTGCCTGCGCAGAAAGCCCTTCATTTGCTGCAGCATTCCCCTCATGTTATCGATGCATCCATAGCTATGTCATGTATATACTTGCGTCGTGCAATCATTTAGGGATAGGTAACTCTTTATTCTTCCTCGTGCTGCAGCCTTGGAGCGGCTCCAAGCAACCAGATTTAGAGGGTCTCTCACGGTCCGGGCCTTGGGGACGAGTTCCGTGTTTGAGTTTGGAAGATACAGTTTCCGGAACGTATCTCTGAGCCAGGGAACCGCTAGACCGATCCGCCGGCCAACCGCCAGCAGCAGTGCGTGGATCCAAGGCTCGTCCTCTCGGCTCACCTTGGGTTGCAGACTCAGTTTTGTCGGGAACATACATTGACATACATCACAGGTAGTGGCGGTAGTGGTTCAACCTAGCGCGACCACATACTGAAGCAATAGAGTCGAGTAAGAAACCGCAGGAAGCTCCGATGCCACCATGGCAAACTTGCGAAGAAATCCTGCTCACAACCTCACTGTCAGTAGGGTAACACAAACATTACCAAAAGAGGAAACATATCAAGTGCAATGCTGCTGCGGGTAATGAGCATCACAAGGCCGCAAGGCCCTACCAGACATTGAGGCAAGCACTACTTTACATCCCAAAGTACTGAAGATGTCGGGACGCGGACTGGTGCCGCGCCGTGCCATCCAAATGCGAAAGGGCTGGAAACTTTGCCAGCACCTTTCAATGCCGGGCACATCACAGA